TCCGCTCTCTTACAAATTACAGGGGATTCATCTATGCATCCATTTACAAAATGGTGGTGCCACATCTGACACTGTTTGCAACCATAGGGAACAATGTACTCCTCAACCTTGTTTTCTGCAATTGCCTCCCCAGTCTTTTCCTCACTCTAAGGCCAAGACTTACCGTTATCTATAAAAGAGGTAACGTTGCAATGCCTTTGACATTATCATCATATCTCAAAGTAATAATTATAACTAGGTCTCTTTTTTTAATGTCTTCCTTTAGTGTTAGCACAGCCAATGCCATTTAAAATGCATTGAAATCTATCCTGAGTGCTTTTGGACACTTCCATACATCGCTACTGGAAAAACCATACGTAGCTTTCCCAGTGTGGTGTAATGAATGGAGAGATGGACTACCATGTTTCCCCAAAAACAAGACAGGGTCTTAATTTTTGCTCCAAAAACACATAAGGGCTTATTTTCAGGGGATGATTTATTTTTTTCAGGTACAACCATATTCAAACACAGTCCTGTCATCTTCTGGTTGTGGCACAATGGTGGAAGGCGGGGTTTCACTTCACTGGGGCTTATTTTGAGGGGTAGGGCTTATATGGCGAGCATCCCAAAAAATCAGACTAGGGCTTATTTTCAGGTTAGGTCTTACTTTCAGGGAAACAGAGTAGAACTCTAGAGAACAGGGTTCAAATCCCCACTTGGCCATGAAAACTCACAAGGAAGTGGAGGTGGTTAAACCAATCCTTAACAGTATATCAATTACCCTGAAAACGTTATTATAAGTTGCTTCCAACTTGACTGCCTAGAACACACACACACACGTACGTACGTATGTATGTAAGCTTATGTACCACCCCATACTCTTTATTCTTTTATGAAGGTTTTAGGGCAGTGGTTTCCAACCTTGGTTAAACCCAGGTGTTCCTGGACTGCAACTCCCAGAAGCCTTCACCACCAACTGTGCTGGCTGGGGTTTCTGGGAGTTGCAGTTCAAAAACATCTGAGTAACAAAGGTTAAGAACCACTGATCTAAGCCATCTTGAATGTTGCTTTGCACATTCAAGAGGTATAAATGTAATAAATAAATCACACCGTTTAACAGAGCCTGGTTTTAAGCACTTATACACATAGCTAGCAAAAGTACACTTAGAATACTTTGTACAGTTCTGATCGCTATACCTATAAAATGATAATTCAGAGGAAGAAAAAGTGCTCAAAAGAATAGTCTCAAGACAGTAAACTCCACAGCTTTAGTGTAAGCCAGCATTTTTCTTCCCACCATCTTTTTTGCCTTGTTAACCATAAACCTTAATAGTTTTTTCTGCGTCCAGAAGTTTCCCTACTCTTAGTGCCCTATATATAATGTGGATGTAGTGAAGTTATTATCTTAGTATGGACAAGCACGATATACACCAATTTCTCTATGTCAAAAGATGAAAAGAAACTTAATGTGAACAGCACACAACAAATCCTTTAAAATGGTTGACTGAAATCAAATAAGAACTGCCAAGAACAAAACTGTTATTTGGGCAAAGTAAACCCATAAATGGCTTCCCAGAGAGAATCAACTTAATTAAGAAAAAATACTAGCTTCAGACCAAAGCAGCTTTATTTCAGATGGAAACTTCAAACTAACAGGCTCCCCTCTGACAGGCAGTAAGAACGACAACAAAAGACGCATTCTATGAGGAAGCGATGAGCTCTAAAACAAGATATTTTGAACAGGTTTTGGCTCCAGACAAGAGATAAACTGGCTCATCAGGGCATATTTTAGAAAAACTTCCCCTGATTAAAATTTGTTGGCCCTGACTTTCCTCACAGCCACATTCTTCTTCCTGTCTTAATAACAACCAGTGGTCAGAACTTAGATATCGAAACACATT